AGTCAGGACAGCTTCCCCTAAAGTTTGAAGTTAAAACAAGGGTTATAAATAGGGTAAAAAATTTATTTTCGTTGGTCATGTGATCGGCTTCCTTCTTTTGTACATTTATATTTTCAAACTCTGTCTGACCCTTTTAACTGTCTTTTTGTTTTCCTCAGAGCAGGAGTGGTTTTACTGCATGAATACTGTTGCTTTGTGTGCATTAAACAAATCTCTACCCAGCATTAAACCTCGGCTCATGTGTGGAGGGTTGTGCTATGCTTGTGTCTACACTCTGCCTGGAAGGATTATTCACTAACTACTGGGAGAAAGGGAACCCAAGATGCTCAGAGAGGGTTAGACCGTCACACATATATACATACAGATATAAACAGACACATACATACAAACAGACACATACATACATGCACATTTTATGTTTCCTACCATTGCTCCCACTCTGACTCCCTCCTTTTCTTCTCCTCCTCTTCCCAGCATCCTGACATCATCACAGGGGGCCCCAGTCGTGCTCTCAAAGTGGCCAGGCCCCTGAAAATCCATTGGGTGGCCCTTGGAGCATTGGCCACTCGATGAACCTCCACATCGTGTGGCCCGCAGTGGTAGTTCCATGCGGGCCACACGCACCATGGCGGCCAGAGGGCTAAAGGGGCAGCTGCTTTGGGCCCCCTAAGACTGACTGGGTCTGGGGCAGCTTCCCTTTTTGCCCCGTTTTAAAGACGGCCCTGCCGAAACTAATTGCATCTTCAAACACCTTAGGCTACCACCAATGTCCCATCAAGAACAAGAAAGCATGCTGGCTGACTTGTGATGTGTACGAAGTTGTTGGTCTATCTGGAAGTTAGCAAGATGACCCAACAATTTTCCATTGCTGACGTCCTTGCAACAAAGTTTGCATTTACTAGATGCCCATTACTGAGCAAAATGTTCCCATTCTTTGGAATGACAGGTGCCAAAGGTGGTGAAGATTCTACAATTTCTTCTAGCTACCTTGCTTCGGCTGCTTCCTTACTCCTCTTCCGGCTTGCATTCTTTGGTGTGGTCTCTGGCCTAACACTTGGTGGGTTAGATGTATTTATACAGGTTCACAGCCAGGTTGCTCAGCACTCAAACAAGCAGGCAAGTACCTATAAGTGTTCTCTACTTATCACAGTATGTGAACAGCCTTTGAGTGGCTTCAAACCCTGTAAAAAGAGACTGCTATTATCAAGAAATTCACACCCTAACAGGACTGGTGAG